CACGACTAAAGGCTGTTTCTACGTCATCAAACCCTACTTTAGGGCAACTAAAAGACGATTTTCAATCATTTAAGGAAGTTGTTACCTCAATTCTGGGAATACTTAAACAGCAAGTAAGTGAGTGCATTGGTGCAGTAGATGAAATTAACATGAGATATAGGCAAAGCTCACTTCTGTTTCACGGTGTTACAGAAAACTCTGAGTGTAGCCTTCAAGAACAGGTTATAAATATTATTCAGAGTAAAATTGGGATTGCTGATATATCCTGTTCCTCACCGTCTCATTGCTACCGCCTTGGAGCTAAACGGAATGAGCATATTCAACCCATACTGGTTAAGTTTCATGAGCAACATGTTAAATCAGAAGTGTGGAAGTCGAAATCAAAGTTAAAAGGATCAGGAATTGTGGTTTCAGAGTTCTTAACTAAACCACGGCAAGAAATTTACAAGAAGGCCCGAAATCATTTCGGTCTCAAAAATGTTTGCATATTTGATGGCTCAATTTATATAAAGACCCCAGGTTTTACCCGTGAGAAGGTCTGCACAGAAGTAAAGCTTATAGCATTGATAGATAAATTCCCCTCGTCTAATATGTCTTCTATCTCAGTGAATGTTAAAAGCATTGTTGTCTCTGAAAAATGTCACTAATAAATTAGTCCAGCATAGCAGTTCCTGTGATGGCCATCAGATCGAGCCTGGTCAGCGCAAACCATCTGATACTCCTCTGTTAGATGTTGATGTAAGAAATCTCGCCGCATTGCATCAAGAAAGTGACATGTTTTTTTTTCTGTGAGCATAGTGTCATTTTTGCTAGATTTTTTCAGTAGTTATGTTGCCTAATGCAATGGCCATTTGTGATAAACATGTGCATTATATCAATATACATGAGTGGAAGATGTGTACTCCAATAAGTTTTTACTTACTATACTTCTCATCTACTTGGTATACTTATAAGATACTGTTTTTTGAAACGTGAAATCAACTTCTTATTATTGATGCCAATAAATGAATCCTTACAATTTACTTTACATGCATATATACTTTTGTCCCACTTCATAATACAAATAACTCTAAGAAAGAGGAAAGAGGTAGCGAGATAAGTATAGATGAAATAATGAAAGCAATGAAAAGCATCAAAGCGGGTAAGGTGTCCGGATATGATAGAGTTTCACTCGAAATGCTAAGGGCTGGAGAGGAGGTGGTGGCAGGCCTGCTGCACACCTTGTTTAATTTATGCTGGGAACTGAAGCGGGTACCGGTAGACTGGTGCAAAGCCGTGATAGTCCCAGTATATAAAGGAAAAGGGTCGCAGCCGGACTGTAAAAACTACCGTGGCATCAGCCTTCTTAGCATTGTGGGAAAACTGTATGCTAAGGTACTGATTGAAAGGGTCATGAAAGAAACTGATGGAATAATTTGGGATGTGCAAGCGGGATTTAGAAAGGGAATGGGATGTACAGATCAAGTCTTTTCCATGCGCATGATCGCGGAGAAGTTTCTGGCCAAAAACCAAAAGGTTTTTTGTGCGTTCATGGACTTGGAAAAGGCCTATGACAGAGTGGATAGGGATTTGCTATGGCAAACACTGAACTCATTTGGGTTGAGCGCTGGCTTGATACAGGCATTGGAGTCTCTTTATAGGGACTCTAGTGCTTGTGTTAGGATCAGTGGGGTCTACTCGGACTGGTTTGACATACATAAAGGTGTCAGACAGGGCTGTGTGGCTTCCCCGTGGCTGTTCAACCTATTTATGAACAGTTGTTTGCAAAATTTGAAAGTTGAAGAATGCGGATTAAGAATGGGTGAGTTAACCGTCAAATGCCTTTTGTACGCCGATGATCAAGTCATTCTTGCGTCGTCGGCGGCCGATTTGCAAATGATGGTTACATTAATGAACGGATCATTAAAAGAAAGGGGTATGAAAGTGAACGCAAGTAAGACGAAGGTTATGGTTTTTGAAAGAGAAGAAAGTAAAACGATTTGTGAAATAAGAATAGAAGGGGAGTTGATCGAGCAAGTAGATGAGTTTGTATATTTGGGCTGCGTATTTAGCAGGGATGGGAGATATGATAAGGATATAGAACGACGATTGAATGCGGGAAATAGAGTAAATGGGGCCTTGTACTCTATTGTGAAGAGTCAAAATGTGTCGAAAAAGGCACGTATGGCAATTCACAATGCTGTGTTGGTCCCTACTTTAACGTATGGTAGTGAAAGTTGGGTGTGGCAGAACAAGCACGAGAGTAGAATAAACGCAGTAGAAATGCGGTCGTTAAGGAGTATGTTAGGGCTGAATCTGAATGACAGGGTAAGAAATTGTGTAATAGAGAAGAGTGTGGTTTGCAAGATGATGTTGTGACCAGGATTAAGAAAGGAATGCTTCGGTGGTTTGGTCATGTGGAAAGAATGAACGAGGAAAGAGTGACAAAGAAAATTTATGTTGCAGAAGTGAATGGCAGAGTCGGAAAGGGACGTCTTAGGCGAAAATTTATCGACCAAATTGGCGATTTATTGGAAACGGGCCAAATTAGGAGTACCCTTAACCGACGAGCATGTATGCGTAGGTGTATGGATGTGAAGGAGGCGAGAAAGGTGTGTCAGGATCGTGCCAAATGGAAATCTGTAGTCTCTGCCTACCCCTCTGGTTGACAGGCGTGAGTGTTTATGGATTTATGGACCAAATAAAAAATATGTAATATTTTTTTTAATGCTTTTAATATCGAAATGAATTCGCAAAAATAAATTGAACATTATTAACACAAACAATATCGACCTTTAATCATGCGGTAAATTGTTGTAAAATTCTCTGAAATCTGCTGGCAGGACTTCTTTCATTTTTTGAAGGTCATCATATTTTAGAGCTTTAATTTTCAATCTAGTTTGGTGCAAATTTTGCATTTCCTCAAAACCTTTTGCTGAAAAAGGGCTTTTTCTTTGGGGCAGCAGCATCCATGGCTCTTCAAACCGCAACTTATATGACATTTCTCCTGATGGAGAATACATGAGTTGGCGAATATCGGTGACTTTAGGGTCTTCCAATGATCATCCAGGGCTTGAAATATTACGGAAATCTTTGAAAAAGTATGTTCCAAATACTTGATATCAAATGGATTATTGCGCGCAGAAGCAATAATTTGAACATAGTCCGCAGGAACATTCATGATTCTATTACGCATTTCCCCGTTCTATTAAAGAATGCATAGCATCCACTTCCATTTGTGAATGGCCGACTTTTAAATATTTTTGCTCGATGGTTATTTTGTTTTTAACTGCCATATTTAATAGCGCATTTGACATTGTCACATTGCGATTTTGATAACCACAGCCAGCCGAATAAATAATAATACGTATATCTGTTTTGTTTTCCACTTTAGGTAGAATCTTTTTCTCAATAAAATATGTCCAAAAAGAAACTCATCAATCTTTTTCTCAATAAAAATGTACAAATAGAAGCAAACTCATCTGTATTAAGCCCTTCCGTTTCGTTCCATACAAAACAATAGCCATCTTTGCATATATTATTATAAAAGCACAGATTATGCACTTGAAGCTTAGTTTTGTAGTACAATGTACTCTCCTTTGACTTAGGTGCCATTAAAACTGCTTGAAGATCTACTGTGAAACAAGACTATTATTCGCTTTATCTGTTTGTTTTTCTTTCCTAGCTTCTTCTTTTTTTAATACATGTAATTGTTAATCATGTTCTTCCATTGTCCCAGCCTTATATCTTGCACATATTTCACATTCGTCCTTTTTGGGTCTAAACAGAGAAACCTTTCTCGATGACATAAACTCACAGAAAGTAGTTTTAGATAGCGGTTGTATGGGGTGCGATTTGCACCAGTCAGATATGTAAAACTTATATAAATCCATTTTTGTTTGCAATCAGTTTTCAGATATTTTTGGAAGATGAAGCCCGACAGTAATGAGATTCCATTGTTGGTAGAGAGTCAAAAAATCGGCCATTGATTTTTGTCCGTTTACAAAAGGGTTAACCTTACTAGGAATGCAATTATTATCTTTAATTCTATCTTTTCAAGCAATAACAGTAATTCTTCCAAAGTATTTAAATACATAGTTTTGCAAACTCTTACATAACAACCATTAGCTGTTTTTAAATTATACTTGAATGACTGAGCTCGTCGAGAACTATCAGACAGTTTTCGATCCCTATCACGTTTTGTTGGAACTGACTGAACAGTATCATTAACTTGAAAAAAAAAATTGGTTGAATAGTTTAATTCTTTCTTCATATTTTATAATGCCACACTTGATTATGTCTGTTTTTCTGCTACATTTGCATCTGTCTTTTAAACGCTTTGTTCTCTTAAACTTTCATAGACCAATTTCGATTTTTTTTAATTTTGCCATATTGAGAGCCTTTTTCGCGCATTTTTTTTCTATAAACCAGGTATTTTTATTTACTTTTTCTGAATTTTCTGAAGCTCGTCTTCTTCTGAATTTACTCTTCTCAGGCAAGGAAGTATCGCTATCGTTTTCTGAACTTGATGAGTATGGAACTAATTTAGGATCGCCAAAATTATCACTAAAATTGGATATTAAATCGCAGTTTTCTATATAAGTACCATTAAAATTTTCTGGCATCGATGAATCGTAAAGCCTAACATTATCACTAATTTTTAAAGAATGTGTATTGCTAATTATGTTTGCATTTTCACTAGGTACGTCAAATGTAGTAAAAAATCAGGAACATCAACTATTTCAATCTGTGCATTTTCTACTAGCGAGTAATGTTCAATGTAATCTTCCAACGGTACATTTAAACTAGATTCAGTAGGGTAGTCCATAATATTGATAACATTGTTTAATGTATTCGTGTATCTACTATTCTGATCAGCACCAAAATTATTGTGAATAATGGTATTTCCCTTATTAAGAAAAGATGAACTTATTCTATAGAAGATAATTCATACTAACATATTTTTCTTTTCATATATATTTAAAATACATTTATACATTTTGCCGTTTTGTTTGTTTTAGTGCAACGAGTTCAACTCAAGATGACGAGTCGGACTGGTCAAGAAATATTTCAATGGAAGAATACCTGACGTATAATAATACATATGATACTTACGGTGAGTTCAAAATGATCAAACTAAGAATTTTTATCGCTTCCTGTCAGTACATCGTGGCGTATCTTAGCAGTAAAGGCGTCTACTTACTTGCTTGCCGCAGGGGTGATCTAGGGTGTACAGCGATCGGAGTAATAACATAAGTGTTAACACACAAGCCTGCTGTTCAGAATGAGAGTGTACGTTTCGCGTCTCGAAATATCAATGTATATAATGTATGAATCGATGTATATAATATATAGCCTTGGCTCCATTTTTTTAATAGAATAAGGATGATAAACGAGCACACCTTTGGTTATTGTTGTGGCCGTAGAAGGAAAAGGGAGATCTCCCGCCGGGCAAGGTGTTCTGCCCGGGGAGCGGCTAACACTCCGTGTGATAGTTAGGAGATGTTCTATATATACTGTTTATGATTCGGAATTTTGATAGCGTGATTTAGGCTTCGGTGTGTTTCGCTTGCGGCGCGACGACAGCGCCGCTACATCACCCCCCTGCTCAGACCGGAGGTCGATAGTGCAGCCTCGTTGCCGACGAACGTGCAAGTGCCAGCGGATTGCCTTGTAGTCTGCGGTGAGTCGAGAAAAAGGCAAGTAATCTGCGAGAGTACCGTGAAGCAAAGGCGAGCAGTAAGGCTCAGAGCCGTGCCAAACACTGTACAGCGCAGAGAGTAGCTTGAAGGAACAGGAAGCATTATTATTCCGGTGCTGCGATGAACCTTGTGAAGCTAGATGGCTTGCAGGATATGAAAACTGCAGACGATATCTGCTCGGGAGCGAATGGGTGGGGTATTTTATGACGATAATGAAGCTTGAAGTTTCCGAAGGTTGTTGGTTGCGTGTTCAGATTACGTCGGGGCCACCACTGTGGTAGTGAAAGGAAAAGGGAAGATCTCCGGCCGGGCAAGGTGTTTTGCCCGGGGAGCGGTCAACACTCCGTGTGATGGTTCGGAGATGTTCTATATATACTGTTTATGATTCGGAACAATTATTTGTAGGTCATATAAATGCTTGTTCCATGCACGATTCGAACCCGCGGATCTTAGCACTGCAACTCATTGCTAATTCACTGCGCCACGGAGTGATCAAAATTAAATTTAAATCATTAAAATTTAAATAATTAAAATTAAATCAAATAAAAATAATTCCGAGTCCCAGGATTCAACAGTTATTTTCAGAAGAATTAAGCAACTTACTTAAAAATAAATCCAATTTGCATATACTTATAAAAATAAGTAAACCATAATACAGCTGGCTCTCACTCGACCATTATTATTATTATTATTTAATGAGTAATAAAATAATCAAATATTATTTATCTTCAGTATTTTTAATTTTATATTCTATAATTAAATTTACTTCACAATAGAGCATTCTACAGTGATTAATTATCAACTAATAAATTAGTACGTTTTGTTTATATTATGACTAAAAAGTCACTCGGTAGGTGAAATGACATTGCATTTTAAAATTCGTCAATCGGTTTGTGTCACAGGAGGCTTCGATCAAACAGAAGGCGACAAAAACACACACACACACACACACACACACACACACACACACACACACACACACACACACACACACACACACACACACACACACACACACAAGTACGCACGCACACATACATACACATAAATATATAGATACAAACTACATAAATAATTTTAAAAATAATATTATCGATCTTATTTTGTTATAAGTTAGTTAGGATTCATTACTATACTTTGAAAAAATCTTCTATCAAAATTTGTAGATAGAATGTATCCCTTTTTCAACAAAATTATAAAAGAAGAATCGATCAAGTTCATGGGTTCGAGTTTGAGCTATTTTTAAATAAATAAACAGGTACTACGTTATATCTAATATTAGACTTGAAAAAGATCTATAAAATTTTATAATACTAACAACGGAGCAGTCATATTGTTTTTTAGTTGAAAATCATACGATTTAAACCTCATTATCTGGCATAGTTTCAATTGAGTATCTACTTATGTTTGTTTAACGAACACTTTTCCTCTAGGCTTACGCCAGCCCACATTGCGTTTGTTGTTTTAATGTTTTTATCTGGCTTATATGTACTGAAAAACAAACAAAGAAAAATGTTTGCGATCATTGAAATACAAAGCAAACGCAGTGCTAATAAACTAAAATTGTAACAATGAAGAAAGTACCCTCTTTGTCTCACTTTAATCATCAAGTTTAAAAAAGAATATGAAAGTATGAGACCTAAATATTTTTCATGCAGTGCGTTTATTTATTAAATAAAACGTGTATATTTGTACTTAGGTGAAATAGTACTAAATTAAAAAATATGTTTAAATTTTTATTAAATCACAAGTTTAAATGATGAGTCATTTTTAAATAAAGAAAAACACAGTCCTAAGGCGCTGTGATCTCTATCATATAATAGATAACAAATTTCAGTTTCGTAGCCTCCAAAATAAGGTAAAACAGCGCATAGCCGAATTAAGACACGACAAATAGGACAATCTGCTGAAGGCTTTGTTGAATACTCAAAGGCTGGAGGAAATCGAACCATCGCACACCGCCTATCGGCTTTTGGCCCATGCACTGAAAGCACATCAGATTTCACCCATGCCGCCTCTCATGAGGTTAAGAAACCCCGACCTTACCTTTGGCGATTCTGAAATGGCCAAGTGCCTCGCGGACAGTTTAGAGAGCCAGAAATGCCGCGAGCCTTGAGTCCGATGAAACTGTAAAAGCCAAAAGGTTAACAGCATTAACACCACATATTCTAGATGCTTCCAAAGAAAAGAAAAACATAATTAAATCCTTTTTCACTGTTATAGTCAAATATAAAATTGTAAATAAACTATAGATATGTACGAAATTTCATGAAAATACATTGAAAAGAAAAAAATAATGAGGAAAAAACAAATGAATGACATGTTTTCAAAACTCAAATATACCAGCAATTTATAAATTCGAACTTGGAATTCTTAACCAAAGAGGAGATATATTAAATTGTGAATATAAATACAGATAGATATACTCAGAACTTTAAAAACAATTGATGTGACTTAAGTTTCCTTTATAAACATCTCAACTTGTGATCCCCGATTTATTGATTACCCCGGCTTTGTCTGTGTAGGATATTTTTATGTGGCGTTGTTTAGATTTAAGTTACTCAAAGACCATTTTGTTTTATCAAGATTTTTGGATAAAATGTAGCCTAAATCATTCCTAGCATTGCTCTCTGTTCAGTCGTGAGGTTTTATTACAATCAGTTTGGCCATTCTGAACATTATTCCGGATAGACCATAGAATACTATAATACATACTTATTTATTAGAACGGGGGAGTGGGCGGAGCCCGTGTAGCCATTTATATGTCATTAACATGTCAATTCACACGTATAAACGTCAACACAATCAATCGTTTCCAATTTTCGTATCAAGCGTCGCTACATACAAAAATATTTAAAAAATGGCAAATTGTGCAATAAATACGAGTACGTGTCGAAAGAACAGCGGGAAATGGAATTTAAATAAAGGAGACATATCCACCAACCAGTAAGTCGAAACTATTTATATTTTGTGACTATTAGTAATAAACATAAAGAAATATTGATGTATCAAAAACATTAATCAAATGTTTAAAATATATAAATTCGCTCAGTCTGTCAACACAGCGAATCAGGTTTGTAGTAGTAATAATACGACGTAATTGCTTGTATGTGTGCACCCGGTGACACCTATCTTCGTACAAAATAAGTTTGACAGCCATTCTATTGTGTATTATAGTATTCTATGGGATAGATAGATATAATATCAATATAATCACTTTTAAAGAAAATAAAAAGAATAGCCACTCTATAATATAGACAGTTATCACTTGATCACTTAAATTATAACTATACAAATTATTCACCAACTATATTTTTAAACCATTCATCATGGTGATTTAAAATAAGAATATATATTTCAGATACTCTATACGACGTGCCAACCGGTATGATAGTGTTACTGTCGTTCTTGTACGGATCGATATCAGTGTTAGCTGTTGTGGGTAACTTCCTTGTAATGTGGGTGGTGGCAACGTCTCGGCGAATGCAAAGTGTAACTAACTGCTTCATAGCGAATCTGGCCCTAGCTGATATTGTGATAGGCCTATTTGCTGTACCATTCCAAGTAAGTAGATGGCATTAAATAACAATTTAGTTATCGTTTTACATTTAAAAGAAAAGCAAAAACATTTATTTTTATTTTTATTACAATATTTTGAATTGAGCCCGAGTTCGAGTTCTAATATTCTGTTTGCAAGATAATAATACCATCTTTCACTTTTATGTAAACATAAAATCTAAAATGTTGCAAAATATAAATTTACCTCATTAAAAAGTTGGAGGTTGACAATTGTATTCCATTTTATTTTTATACAGTTTCAAGCAGCACTTCTACAGCGATGGTTGTTGCCACACTTCATGTGCGCATTCTGCCCGTTTGTGCAGGCGCTAAGTGTCAATGTTAGCGTGTTTACTTTAACTGCCATAGCTGTCGACAGACACCGAGCCATTATAACACCGCTTAGGTAATGTATGCTTTTTCATTATTTTATTAAAATATTGTATCATGGATATTACATAAGATTGAAAATACACAAGAAGTACTTGCTGTGTTATAGCAGCATACTTGATTTATCTTACAACGTACCGTAAGCATCATATGTATTGTGACAATCGATTATGAGACATAGCCGGAAGATCTTTTCTTTTTTGACCGACTTTAAAAAGAAAGAGGTACTCAATTCGACTGTATGTTTTTTATAAACCTCAGAACTTATTTCTAGACGATTTCGATGATTTTTTTTATTTGAAAACTGCTACTTTTTATGTGGTGTGGAAATTTGATCAAGATTTGACCAGTAGTTTTTGAGCTATCCTTAATAATGCGTATTTATTGACTACATTGATAAAGGTCTCATTTTATTTATATTGAAGTCGATTATAGAAATTTTGTAATTTCACACTTGTTTATGTATGATATATCATTGGAAGAAAAGGACCATCCATTAAATTCTCCGATAGATTGCGATATCGCGATATGCGTTCGAGGGTGAAGAGAGAGCCTTTGAAAAGTAAAACTACGAAGTACGAAGCCAGTTATTAACCCGATAAATGTGGCGATTACGGAAGATAACTTTAATTCCGAGTTTTATTTTAATATCATTCAGACTCGAATTAAGAAACTAAAACAAAGTTAATAATTCTTTTGGCACAAAAATGTTTTATTTTTTAACAACATTAGTAGGCAAAAACAATTGAGATGACGTACCTTTATACAAACTATGTATTTTACGTAGAAATTTCTCCCTGTACTTTGCTTCACTGTGACAAGCATCATCATCATCATCATCATTGCAGCCCTTCACAAGTCCACTGCTGAACATTGGCCTCCCCCAAGGAATGCCACAAAGCACGCTCCTGAGCCACCTGCATCCATCGACTTCCTGCATGCCTTACCAGATCGCCACTCCATCTAGTGGGGGGTCGCACTATACTACGCCTACCGGTACGAGGCGTACTTTTTCCCTAACGGTTGTCTGTTGTCACTTCAGTTTACTAATCCGTTAGGCTATGTCAGTCTCTCTGGTTCTACTGCGGATATCCTCATTTCTAAGTTTGTCACGCAGACAAACCCCGAGCGTAGCTCGCTGAGCGACCTTGAGCGTCCTCATACGGCCAGCAGTGAAAGACCACGTCTTAGGTCCGTAAGTCATCACTGGCAACACGCACTGGTTGTACAATCTAGTTTCCAGATTTGGAGGTGTACCTGACGAGAAGATGTGTCGTAATTTCCCGAACGCTACCCAGCCGAGTTGAATCCGTCGATTGACCTCTCGGTCGAAGTTAGACTTATCTAGTCGGACTATATGTCCCAGGTAAACGTACTCGTCAACAAATTCGAGCTTAGTGCTCCCAACAGCTACCAGCATAGGTGTGACGTGGACTATAAACGTGATCTTTGTTTTATCCATGTTCATCTTAAGACCTATCCGTTGGGAGACACTATTGAGGTCATTCTGCATAGTGCTTAGATCTCCAGCGATTCTGCCATAAGGACTATATCGTCGGCAAATCGATGGTGAGTGATGTACTCGCCATTGATGTTAATACCGTGTCCTTTCTAGTCCAGTAGCTTGAAAAGATCTTCCAATGCAGCGGTAAAGAGTCTCAGGGATATGACGTCACCTTCAACTTCTATTCTCTACTCGGATAGCCATCATAGCCTTACTGTACAAAAACTTCAGCACTTCGATATACCGACAGTCAACTTGGCACCGCTGAAGGGATTGTAGCACCGCCCGAATTTCGACGGAATCAAAGGCTTTCTCATAGTCCACATACGCCAGGCAAAGTGGCAGATTGTACTTTTCGCTCTTCTGTACCATCTGCCGCTGGGTATGTATGTGGTCTATGGTACTAAATCTGTTTCGGAAACCAACTTGTTCGGGAGGCTAGAAGTCGTCGAGTCTGCGTGAGAGACGAATGACTCTTGAAAACAGCACATGGACGCGGTTCAGAAGGAACATCGGTCAGTAGTTCTTCAAGAGACCGTTGTTGCCTTTCTTGAAAAACAAGACCACCGCACTTCTACTTCACGCCGCCGGAGTAGTGCTACCATGGAGAACGGAATTGAAGAGCTTCTGAAGGACTTCAATTACCGGTGTTCCACCCGCTTTTAGAAGCTCCGCTGTAATTCCGTCCTCGCCTAAGGCCTAGCCGTTTTTAAGGTGCTGGAGAGCCATTTAAATCTCGCTCAGACTGACTTCCGGGATATCATCGGAATAGTGTCGGATACAACTTGCTTTTGGATTGTTACTCACACTTGCGTGTGGCTCCAACGATGATGATGATGTACAGCTGCCCATAGAACCTCCCAATCTCATTCAAAATCTCAGGTGTCCCGGAAACGATGCTGCCACACTTAGTTTTCAGCTTTGACAGCTGGCTTTTTCTGGCAGACAGATCTCTGGCAAAGATTTTGGAGCCCTAGTTCCGCTCGGTCGCTTCTTCAATACACATTATAAGCAGTATTAAAGTTGCGTAAGTCCCGCCGCATGCATTTGGAGATCTGTCTTTTCAGTTGCCTGTATGCTGTCAATTTTTTTTCATTTTCCGTCTAACAGTCACGAGATTAAGAGTGTGATCGAAGAGTTTTTGTATTCTTCTGCGGCGAATCTTGCAGAACTTAGATCCGACAGCATGGACAGTTTCCACGAGCTTATCATTCCTACCGTCCACTGCATTGCAATCTTCTACGGCAATGAAAACGGTTTTGTAACTCCAGCTGAAAGGTTTCGAGATTTTGGATTAGAGCACGAGGGACGCGGGTCGTTGAATTCGTTAGACGAACGAAATCTCTCCAACTTAACGTTTAAGTTCAGTATGCCTCTAACCATTCGGTGATCGCTGCCAGTTTTCACCCTTGTGATCACTGAGACATCACTGAACAGTGGCCGTCTAGTCGTCATAATGAAGTCAATCTCAATTTTTGTTAAGGGTGCGTGCGTTATATGTTGCCAGTTCTAGTCGTCGTAGGTGGCAACCGAACCTCCACCGAGGATTCTTAGCACCCCCTGCACGGCCGTTGCCATGGTCGTCACCGTAGCCAGGAATAGCGGGGCCGCCGGGGACTGGGGGCCGTCTATAATAAATATTAGAGATATCAATCTACCTATTATTATAGGTAGGGTAGCCAGAAAGAGATAATGTAGTCTGTCTAATTTTTTGAACAAAAACTGTATTTATTTTGCGAAGGTTTACGAAAAACGAACGAAATAAGACTTATTTTTAAAAGATATGAATTTTAAGAATTTTAAAATGAGAACTGCAAAATAAAACCGAGAATTGAAGTATATAAATCTATTATGGGCGTACAAAAGCAAATTTAAACTGTTTAGTACGTTAAAATCAGAAAGATCCTGCGAAATCGGATTGAGAACCACTTGAGTTGCTTTCTGCTTGAAGAAACTTATTAAAATTGCTTGAGGCCGAAAATATTCCGAATGTTTAGGCTTTGGTAAGTAGTAAGTACACTCCTCTGTGGAATCAAAATAACAAAAATCAATGTATTCTAGGACCGGCAGAATAAGTGCTTAACGAGACTTTATAGTATAACCTCTTTGAACCTCATTTTAACCCCTTGACTGGACTAAAAATGTCACAAGCTAAGTTATTACAGTGAGACAATCTCGTTCGTCTAGTGATTGTAAACGCGATTACTGATCATGATCTCACAGATTCGAATCCGAGGTCAAACCAAAAAAATCGGTTATTGAGTTTTTTTGTCAAGAAAGTCTCAATAATGGCTAGTCCCCATCGAGGCTGGCCGCCGTTACCAAAGTTCATTCAGGAGGACATAATTATTATTATTGCGGTGATTTTTATCACGTCGCCTTTATTTTAATCAATTATAAAATCATAAGAAACAAATTAAAACATTAGTAAAAACGGATAATTATTATTTATTCTAATGATTTATCAGCCTTTAACATTTAAATGTCGTCTTTTTGTTGTTCTACAGACAGTTGCTTTTCGGTTTTAACTCGTAACAATAACTGCTTTAGTTATTCTAGGGATTTAAGCAAAAACTTTTCAGTTATTAGGTCCCATTGGCCTACATTAAAATAAAAATGTTGCCAGTGCATAAATTATGTTTAGACAAAATCGTGAATGAATGAATAACTATGTAAATTTAAGATGAGCATATCAAATAATGTAATAGTCAAAAAAATTAAAAATTTATCGTAAAAATCATGACTATCCACAAAATGTTCTGTAGTTAATTTGGTTCTATTGGTTTGTTATTTGTTTCAGTGCGCATACATCCAAGCGTGTTGCCAAGGTAATCATTGTGTTTATTTGGGTTCTCGCGTTATCTCTCGCGGCGCCAATGGCAATGTCATGGGAAGTTATTATGGAGGACGAAATAGATCCAGGTATGGAAGCTTATATAGTGAAATAAAATAATGGTATTTATTTTATTTGTTATACGTGATTAATATATTACCGTCACTGTTAACTGCTGAAGATAGATCTCCCCCCTAGATTGCCTTTTAGGGGATCACCCCTATGAGGTAATCTAGAGGGGATTTGCCATGCTAGGCAAATGGGTGGGCAACAGCTGTGTATTTTTAATTTTATTTGTTTTTAGGGAGATGCCCATCTCATGGTATATTTCCCACAACTTACGTACAAACTAATAAGAGGTACTCTTACGACACTTACGGGATGGTAAAGGGTAGTTTATATTATTATATCATCATTACACGGTTAAATTATAATCAAGATTTAAGATGAAAAGAAAAAAGAAAAAGAGTTAAGATTAAAATATAATCAAGCAAAAGTTACTGTGAATTCCGATGCTGATTTATTGACTTACAGTTTTTTTTGTTAAAACAGTTAATTGCTTAACTTAAGATGAAAATTACATTCAAAGTTTTAAAAGTGTGGTTTTTTGATCATAATATGAAATTTAACAGTTTGGTAAACATGAAAAATTATGTCTTTAAAAGCTACATAAAAATTTTTTTTATGGGAATAATATAATGTTGCCAGTTGAAAACATTAGCTTGCTTAACTGATTTGATAGATGATTTGATGAAGTTCCACTCATAGATATAAGAATTTCTATGGTTCCACTTAACCGATATATTAACTTCTTTCAGTGACTAGACTGTTTTACAAAAAGCCATTCTGTGCTCCAAGTGAATTTGGATCGCATTCATTAGCTATTTATAGACTGGTGCTTTACGTTTTTCAGGTAAGTTAAGGCTAAATATATTTGGGTGCGTTTGGCAGAAAAAAGCGCTAGCAAGCGCTTACAAGCGCTAAAATAGTTTTCGGCCAGGACACGATTGCTACTTCAGTAGCGCTGACACAATTCGCCATTTTGCTTATTTAATTTGTTTGTTTTGAAGTAGAGTTTATAAATTGTTTTGTGCAATATTAGTTTTAAGTAATATAATGAGATAAATAGACATATACATGTTATTAAAAATTCATGATTGGTAAGTTTTTAATATGAATACTTTACAAACATATATTTAAATTAGGTTAGATTCCCCGGTTAAAACTAACATCGTGTCCTGGAGGAAAATAGCTACTTACGATTTGACAGCGCTTACCGCTTACGATCGCCATTTTGCTTACAAGCGCTTGCTAGCGCTTTTTTCTGCCAAACGCACCCTTTATCTTTGTGCTTCGTCATTTTCAATTGACGTCAAAAAAAGGAGGAAGTTCTCAATTCGACCGTATTTTTTTGTGTGTTACCTTAGAAATTTTTTCTAGGTGAACCGAATTTGATTATTCATTTTTTTTGAAAGCTGGTGTTTTTTGTGTGGTCCCATATAAATTTGATCAGATTTGACTGGTAGTTTTTGAGTAACCTTATTTTATTATTATTAAAGTCGGTTGTACAAATTTTTAATTTTACCACTTGTTTAACTATAAGTACAGATGGACTAATATTATGGATTAGTTGCAATATAGGTACAGTTTCCTTTTACTTTGTTAACGTAATTTATGAAAGTACGGTTCATGGAACAAAATGAAGAGCTATGCAACTATGGGGTATGCCAAAAAACTTGATGGGAAAATTATAAAACACAAGCGCGGCGAAACAGAGAAAGAGCATGAATTGAAGGTTAAATAGGGCCTCAAGTCAAGCGATAACTGCGTCGTGTGATTTTGACGGCTTGAAGTTTTCATCTAACTTGGTATCAGGTTATCTGAACATATTCAACCGCCTAGACACATCATCATCGTCATCATTACAGCCCTTCACAAGTCCACTGCTGAACATAAGCCTCCGCCAAGGAATGCCACAAAGACATATATAGATGCCTAGACACATATTGTCTAGTAATATCACAGAATAAATAATAGGCATTATTGGCAACTGTCACCTTTGTATCGCTAATTTTGGAAAAAAAAAGCCTGTTCATAATCAGTTAAAAAAACAACAAAGAATCAAACAAATATTTTTCCTGAAAAAAATGTTTTTCATGACTTAAATAAAGATCATCATTCATCATTTTCAATTCGACTATACGTTTTTATCTTTGGAAATTATTAACGATTATTTTGTTATTAAATAAGATGATTTGAATTGGATTATTGAAGATAATTTGAATTGAAATAAAAAAAGCCCATCTCCAAGAGTTGATAAAAAAGGGATGAAATTTTTAGTGTAACTATTAAGTCGACAGTTAAAAAATTTCGGTTGTGATGTCGGCTTACTCCAGTTAATATATTATTGATTTAGTTGGAAATTATCTTATTTATTTCAGTTCTTTGAAGTCAGTATTTCTACTTTAATTTTCTGTTTATAAAAGCATAAATAGAATTCCGAGTACGTTTCTAATTAAAACAGGATGCTTTATTATTTTGCAATATTTTCTTTTGATTAAAACCTTTCAAAGTTTGTATTTTTTGCTATGAATAAATCAAAGCGGTTCGTTTCTTACAAAAGGATAACTTTTAGTAAGTTTATGTGGCAGAATTATAATTACAACCGGGGTTTTGATTAAAATTCTATAAGTATTCTTTTATTTACGTTATTAATTCGACTGGACATGAGTTTTTTGTATACTAAAGATAATTCACCATTATCACAACACTTGGCGAACCTTAGACCAGAATAGCAGATATTTGAAAAGTGTACTCATCCACAATGGGCACTTCAAAAATCGGCTAGGGGTTCGAGTGTTGCCGTAGAAAGGTGAAAATTTATTTTAATATAATAAGACATACCCGTGCCGTGGTAGCTCAGATGGTTAACGCTTGCTGTAAATATAACAGAAAGCGAGTAACCCGGGTTCGATCCCCACCGGCACCAATGAAATTGTTAATTGCAATTTTAAGTGCTGATTTACCACGTGCTCGGCAGTGAAGGAAAACATCGTGAGGAAACCTGCATGTCTGAGGAATAAAAAAAATATTTCGAAGACATGTGAAGTTCGCCAACACGCATTGGGGCAGCGCGGCGGACACTTCCTTGCCCTAAAACCCTCTCAGTAATGAGGGGAGGTCTGTGCCCAGCAGTGGGACGTATATAGGCTGCAACTTTACTTTACTACTTTAAGCGTATGTATAACATTGGAGTGACATTTTGTTTTGTAGCCACTAAAGTAAAAAATGTCAGTTCTATTTTAGACCACATTATGAATTGTAATTCGTTGTTTGTTTAGTATGTTATCCCGCTGTGCGTCATATCATTCGCCTACGTACATATGGCAATGAAGTTGTGGGGGGCGCGAGCTCCCGGAAATGCACAAGAGATACGGGACGCAAATCAAATGAAGAATAAAAAACGGGTAAATATCTCTAACATAAGATTAACATATTAATTAATTATATACTATCTGATATTTTTTAGGTGCACAACAATGAGCTATTATGTATTACGTACTAGAGGCGACACTGTATTCAGTTACTCTGTTCCATTCAACTGCGGACTGCGGTGCTTACACTGCACTTTAATCAGTAACTCGCTAGGCGCTTGTAGAGTTGTCACGTGTTGTGTTGATTTAAAAAAAATCTTGATAAAAATATGCCGTCGTGTGTACTTAAATATTGCATAAATAATTCAAGAAATGTCAGTAAAAACCAAGGAATTACTTTTCATCGGTTAATTAAGATACTTAATCAACAAAAAAGTATTATAGATTAATAATAAAACAAATTATTCCTAAGACGCCATCTCGTTTCATGGAATATAGATTACGAATTTTTTTTCTGTAGAAACATATAATATATAAGTTATCGTAATTAGGCAAAAAAATTTATATTTAAATCTGCTCATTATTCTTTTATTTTATTTTTAGGTTTCCACATCAAAGTCAAAGTGGAATAAATTTATCAATTTTTAACTCTCGCGTGCCCAGCATTTATGAACGACTCTTATCCTAATTTAAATAAATAGATTTGTAATTTAAATGTTATATTAATAAATTTTGTTAAACATACTAAATGTATGTTTTTTAGATTTGACATAGATACCTTTTAAAATATTGAGATAAAAATATCTTTAAAATGAAGTTGTGATATAATATTGTGTAATATTATAATAAATAAGCAAATATAATATACAAAATAAATGACAAAATTTAGATATTGTTCTCGATATAATCTACCTATTTAACAATACAATCTAATATTACCTACTGATCATTCTACCTATGTTTATTCTATGATAAAAAAACCAACCGCGCGAAAACAGAGTATAGCGTACATTTTTTGTTTGAAATAGTTGTTCTAGTACGTAAGTACATATTACTTCAATGTTGCACAATGAGAAATGCGGTTACAAAATATGTAAAATATTTTATTATATTTATTTATGTATTATTATTGAGTATACAATGTATTTTCCGATATTATCTAAAAAGTAATAAAGCATTGTTAAATTAAAAAAGTCCGACAAAGTAAATCCAACTTCGACCGAGAGCACAGAACCGAGAGGTCAATCGGTGGATTAGACTCGGCTGGACAGCGTTGGGGAGATTACTGAAAACAAGATTATACAAGCAGTCCTGCTTTCTGATGATGTTAATGCTGTTAGCCTCCTGGCTTTCACAGCATCATAGGTCTCAGGGCCCACGGATTTCATGCAGACTCCTATGACAGTGTACAGTGCACGCGGGTGAGTTATCTAATGACCGTCGGAACAGGGGGTGGCGGGCCCCGGTTCTGACGGCTAACTCGTGTCGTTCCATGTTCTGAGCGGTGAGAACCACCTAGGGATGCGAGTGTACGGTGTGTATGTGGTGTGGATGGGTGTACGGCGCGCCCCTCTGCAGACTCGTTGTGTCCCATCCGTTATCCTAACAGTGTTTGTGGCACTGGGTGAATGTGTAATGTCTATGAGTGACGGGCTGGCGACATTTGTATGTCGTTGGAATCTAGCGGAACTGGGGGTTGAACTAAAACATTAAGGGGCCTCCGGAGGTTTTGCTTAACGTTTGGAGTCGGAGCGTAGGTTGTTGCGTTTACCAATAGCGGGTTGGGATCTGTCTCAGCGCACTCAAAGTAGCGCCAAGACGTTTCCTTGAAATATTCGGAGACCATATGGACCATAACGCTATAACAAGGAGCTTCAAGGTCTCTTGCACTAGCATAACGTATACATCGTGGTTTCGCAGAAAGAGCGCGATCGCGTCTTTTTGGCCTCTGAGCCCGTTTACGTTAAAAAACGAGACAGTCAGAGAGCGTGGTTTGGCTTTATTTAACGGCTGTACTGCCATCATGGGTTATAACTAAGGTATTTAAACGCAATGGAAAGACCAGATTGCGTCGATTAGTTCTATGTGCTCAGTCGTGACGTTGAGTTTGTCCTGTGGGGTGGTTACTCCGCGGAGTTTGCGGGCCAAGGATGATATTTCAGCGACGTTTGTTATTGATTAAGCCGCAGACTAGAGAGGTCAGCGGTGAAGGAAGATGAGCCTTGTGGGACAGGCTTGAGTTTGCGATTCTGGAGAGGCGGTAATGGCTGTGTTGCGACTAGAGCTGGAGGCTTTACGCATTCATTGGGCTTCGGCGCGGAAGGCGCGGGAGTGCTACCACCTTGCGTGGAGACTCCGCCGACGGGGACGGGCTTGGCGGCAGTTTGAGCGTAGAAGAGGGCATCGAAGATGGTGCGGGCTTGGGGCAAGCAGCCGGGAGTGCAACACGCTGGGCTGATCCGCTCGTCTGAGACGGCTTTTACCTCCGTGCTTTTTGCGTCGCGGCGCTTTGGAACACCCGCGATGGTTCGCTGGGTCTCCCTCTTCAACTCAATTAACGCAACTCGGAGGCTATGCCGTCTCAGGCGAGTGGGTGTAGTCGATAGTACCGTGGTCACCTAGGCACTTGACGCACCTAGGCCTGGCGTAACAATTTCTGGCCGAGTGACCGTAGAGTTCCAACGATGCCCCTATTTCATGGGCTTCTATTGCAATTCCGGTTAAGTTGCAGATACGTCGAGCATTGAATATGTCCTTGCCTTCCGGAGACAGGTTCAGAATGACAAGGCAAAGGTCAAGGAATCAATTTTTGTCGGACTGTTGGTGCATTTTGTGCACTTCCTGGGAGAATCTGAGCCTGTGTATGCCTGTGTACGATCTCGAGTTTCTTGTGGAGTCTTTTTTTATAGAAGAGGGCGCAAACGAGCATGCGGCTCACCTGATGTTAAGTGACTACCGCTGGCCATGATCAACCGAAACACCAGGGGAATTGCAGATGCGTTGCCAGCCTTTTGGAAATGAGTAAGTTCTATTCTTGAAGGTCCCCATGTCGTATCGGTCCAGAAAAATCGCCGATGGTAAATTATTCCACAGAGAGGTCGTACGCGGAAGAAAACTCCTTGTGAAACGTACACTGGTGGACCGCCAAGCATCCAGATGGTGGGGATGGTATCGAGACGTTTGCCGCGTAGTGTGTTCATGATATTTGGCGGCTGGGATTAATCCAAACAATTCATCAGAGCACTCCCCATGGTATATGCGAAAGAAAATGCAAAGAGATGCAACATCTCTTCGCAGTGCCAGTGAATCGAGCCGATCGGAAAGCACTCGGTCGTCGACGATTCCAGCCGCTCTGCGCTGGATGCGGTCAAGTGGAAGGAGCTGGTACTGGGGAGCCCCAGCCCAGAGATGGGAACAGTATTCCATGTGCGGCCGAACCTGCGCCTTTGTAAAGTTGCAGGCGGTGTGCCGGCATGAAATACTGTCCCGATCTGCTGAGCACGCCAAGTTTTTAGAGGCCAATTTGGCCTTCTTTTCCAAGTGACCACGAAACTGCACGTCACTCGATATGTTGAAGCCGAGGATACCGATACTGGCTGAGGCAACAAGGGGAGTGCCTTGAAACTGGGGAGATACGACAAAGGGGTTCTTTTTAGCGGTTAACGCGCAAACTTGTGTCTTCTGGGGGTTAAACTGGACTAGATTTAGTCGCCCCCAATCCAAGACTGTTCAGCGAAGACTCGATTTCAGACACAAGTTTGTCTTTGAACGACAACCCGAAGATTACGCTCCTCTGGTAGGGCGTATGTGTGAAAACTAATTTCCTGAGCGCGCAGGGGACTGGTGACAACAGGTGATACAGTCCTGCTGCGGAATTCCTCGGTCGAGTTTACGTACATTCTAATGCCCTGACCGGCGTTTTGGACCTTTGGGCAGTATATTTTTTGGAGTTTAACCAATTTGACAGATTGATCCATTGATTCGTACTTGTGAGGGGCTGTAATGATGAATGATGATGTTGAAATAAAAAAGGTACTTTGTTACTCAAGACTTTTAATTTTATATTAGTTAATATATTATTCAAATTGATGTAATTTATCGCAATACGTGCGTGTCACTGAAAGTTTAAAGAAAATGAATAGCAGATGGAAACATAAATATAATAAATAAAAAAGCTCTGTTGTGGGCACTTATAACTATAATAGAAAAGAATTCAACCTTTACATTATGATACAGAAGTGCATCAGTTAAAAATTTAACATGTCGTCTTGCAAGTTTTTCACTAAAATAACTACATTCACCTCAGTATTTTGCTTCACAACTAAAACGCAAAGATAGTATTTTTCATATGACTTTTTTTAAATATTTTACGAAAGTTCAATATTTATGAATAAATATTGAACTTTCGTAAACATTGACTAACGTCGTGAATTTGGTGAAATCCAACAGATTTATAACAGTGCTACACATTAACTGCAAATTCACCAACTAACCATTTACATTTATTTTTCAAACACTACAATCTGTTGTAATATGTTCATAAATTGAACATTTTTTGCATTTCATTACAACATTGACATTTAAATGTAAAGTAACTCCTATGCAATCAAGAGGAGACCAAAATAAAAAATGACTCTTTGTAGAAAACGTTTTTATATATTAGAAGAAAATATCTTAAATTTTATATTGAATATCTTGTGACTTGTGAACTATTTTGTTTTATTAATCATAAAATTTTTGTTAACAAGCTAATTTATACGTGTATGTAAGAGATAATAAAGAATCTTTTCTACTTCTGATGTTGGAATGTACTCTAAATACTATTTAAATAAATTAAAACTTCTTAGTATGTACGAATACGACTTGTCGTTATAAAATATTCATAGAATGCATTGGAAGTAAATATAGTATATCACCAAATTACATGAAGTAAGGAAACCAACAGCAACTCCATAACTTCACTTTGCAGCATTACCTTAAAGAATAACGACAACGGTATAACGGTTTAGATTATTGGTATAGCCGATTTCTGTTGCCTAGGTAGCACTCAATGGCGTTCGAATTGAAAATGGCACTTAGGGCATGCATCAAATTTGTGCCCCTTCGTAAATTTTCTTTATATTTAACAAAACCATTTTTCGGATTTTATCGCGATAATTAAAAATTAAAAAAAAATACACCAAAAAAAACACTCCTAATTCTTACAAACCATATTTATTTTCCATATTACAACTAAAGTAACTTTGTAAAAACCGTTGTACGTACAATTGCAGTATCCTGGCCTTCTGCGACGCAACATATCGATGATGTCATGAAACCAGTGTTTTCTGTTTATTGTCGCTTTCTCTTTGAGCAAACGGTCGCCTTTTTTGACCCATTTCATTAATGCTTTTATTACTGCCCACTGCTGGACATAGGCCTCGTTCATAGATAACTTCATAGGCAATGATATATTTACACAAGAGGCAAAATTTGGAGTGTGAGCAAAATTTTTTAACATTCTGCTACGAAAATGAATGATTTTTAAAAATTGTGTAGTTATTGGTTCGAACCCGATTTTTAAAAATCGAGTTCTCATTGGATCTTCACGTTTCGAAGTCTAGTATACAGTACATAATTTTTTTTATTAACATTTAATTTAGTTATTCAAAAGTTTTAAATATGTTTGCTTTTTCAATGAATGGTTGTTTTATAATTGTTTTTTAACTTAAACCATACAACATAAGTGCAATAATAATAATAAGAATAATAGGAAAGCAGATTTGGTTTTACCAAATTCATTTTATATTATCTAGATATTTTTGAGAGCAAATTATTTATCTACACTGAATACGAAAATTGCTAACTTTTAAATCAATAAATTTAATCTTTAAAGAACAATGATCTCTTTTAAATAATTTTACTTCTGCAACGAAGTGCTTAACTGCTGTACAATTTTTTGGAATTATGCTTTTTATACTTTGAATAACTTTCTTAAAAAAAGACTTAAAAATGTGCAATTAATTTTCAAGATAAATGAAGAAAACAATTTTCTTTTGTTCAAAGGATTTTTATGGTAAAATAATAATAACATAGAATTGTTAGTAGAAAAATCTAATTGAAATATAACTTAATGATTTCTTAAATTTACGCGAACACTACACATTGAATAAAACTAAATTTACGGATTTTATCGCGTTTATTTCACTACTTTTACTTATTTTTAATTCCCGACGTTTCCGTGACCATGGTTGCTGTAAAGCACCCGAAACGTCGGGAATTAAAAATAAGTAAAAGTAGTGAAATAAACGCGATAAAATCCGTAAATTTAGTTTTATTCAATGAAATATAACTTATTGAGTGAATCACAGAGTAGTTCTATCTTTTTGGTAAAAATTTAGATTTGTTTCGCTGGAGGGGGGAAGGGAGAGTGGGGGAGAGTGGAGATGGGAGGGTCTCCCATTTTTCACACTGCCTCAGGGCGGCACTTAAAGTAAATTCGGCCCTGTTTATAGAAGGGCTATGTAGCCCTCAAATACGAAAGTATCAACTTATTGAGAGATATCTCACAACTTGCAATAGGTACTGTAGTTGTGAGCAGAACGTGAAATGCGCAAATTCCGAAAAGCGCTTTCACCCTCGTACTGCACAATAAATTCGAGTATCGATAGTAAGACATGTGTTCTGAGGTTCCACCGCTAGCTAGGTTATGGCATCGTCCGTTATCCAATATGCTGAACTGCAAGTAGGTAATGTTTAAACGAATTAATATTTATTTGCGCATGAATAGTTAATAATAAATTACTAATACGAAATATTAATAATAGCAGTAGTGAGTACTGGAGGTATTTATTCATCTTTCCTATTGCAATGGTGACAAAATACGAAAAAATTCAATATATTATAAAAATTAGGGCCGCGGTATGAATTCCCATTACAACATTTCCTCCTACGGGTGTCGTAAGAAGCATATTCTTCTGAAAGTTGGTGGTACAATGTTACGTTTATGCCAGTCGTATAATACTTAGATCAAAGACTGGGAATATCGTCTAAAATGCGAGAATTCTAGTACTGTGACTGGCAATGCGCCTGACAAGCGTAACAATTATTCCAATTCCTCTTTCCAACGGAATCTCATCTAGAGAACTTTATGAGTTGATGAGGAGAGGAGACGAGAGTAAAATAAAAACGTTCCTTTAAACAGCACAACTAGAATAAATTCTTAATAATATTCTTAGTTACTGAAACATAATCTGAAACATACAACTGAAACATTTAAGACATAGAAATTTAAACAACTGAGGCAGAAAGTTCATTTAAATTTATAACACAAACAAGCACAAAATATTAACAAAGTTTGTGGTGAGATTGAAATATCGCCTAGTTTAAGTTCTTCGGCTACGTTTGTACTGTTTATCATTTAACCTTTTTATAAAGGCGTTTTTTGAATAAATTTTAAAGTCTTCAGATTTATCCGTTGAAAAAAGTAAATTTAAAACTTAAAACTTTTATTGCACTTCTGATGAGTATAAAAAAAATCATAGCTCGGTATGCTTTCCGCTACAATGTTGCTGTCGCTAAAAGGTAGAAAAAAGTCGCGTAAAGGTAAAAATACAAGATTCAGTATTTTCTCATCAATGCCTCAGTAATGAAATCATAAATTTCTTTGAAATTTGAAATCCATTCAAAAATGTAAGTAATAATTTAATACGAGAAAATTGTTCAAATACTACTAGCACGATTTTGGTTCATTATCATACAGAAGCATAAGGAAGATGTTATATTAAAGTCTAAAATAAAGTGTTATTTATATAAAACATCTTATTTTTACAATTTTTTCGCAGGTAATTAAAATGCTGGTGCTGGTAGTGGCGCTGTTTGCATTATGTTGGCTCCCACTGCAAAGTTATATGTTATTGCAGTCGTTTTTCCCATCAATTAACGAGTAAGTGTATTTTCGGCTTTCAATATTATACACTTTAGTTAACAGTTTTTCTCTTCTCAAATAGACTAGTTTAAACCTGAGACTACTTACTTTTTGTAATAAGAAGGTAACATTTAATGTATCAAATACTCCTTTTCCTACAGTTCCCTTGATAGTTATATTATAAACTTACATAAAAGCAACTTCTCAATTTGTGATACCTTACATAAAAAGTCACTAAAACATTATCATTTTGAGCAAAAAAGCTACCCTTTGTGCTAAAAATAATAATATTCTCGGCTATTAATTAGTCTCAGATTAAAACTAGTTTTATGAGACTGAATCGTGTTCACTACATAACGTGGATAATTGTCTAGTAAGAAGTCTAAGTTCGACATTTGCTGTCAAATTTCATAAACTTAACATTTTGATTCGCATATTTTCCTCGGATCAGGTCTTGTTTTTTGGGAGACCCTTTATGATGGAAAAGGAGCATCCGTTCTTAATACTCAGGGCTGACAACGCATCTGCATATTGACTCTTAATCGAGGATAAGTGTAGATGTCTACGAGACACAGCATCTACTTACCATCAGGTGAACTGTGTGCTCGTTTGTCACTCTTATTTAAAAAACTCTTATAAAAAACCTATATTAACAATAATGAGTAAAAAGGCCAAGCTTAAAAATTTTGTCACTCTATACGAGTTCATTGCTCAACATGGGCCTTTCGTATTTAAAAACGCTTATAATAGTCAAATAATAAAAAAAACATATTAAAAATTAAAATAACTCGACAAAACCATTCACATAAATTAGGTCAACCAAAAAATAAACAATTTCAAAATTAAGTGAATTGTTTTTATCAAAAATATTTTCAGCGAACAAAAAAAAAACTTAATACGTAATCTTTATATGACAGAAGGTTATGGTTTTAGTTATATAAGTAGAAAGTCGAAGGCTGTGCGTTATAGATAGTAATAATATACCGGACGCGCATGATTTAACATTTTGTGAGATATGTTCTCACAAAACTGTTAAATCATGCGCGTAATAGTATTTGAGATATTAATTTAGTTTCATTCGTTATAATTCGTCGGAATATCATTTATTGATTTTGACGATCGTGTTGCCACATGAATATTAGAATATGTGGCAGGATATGCTGCCCAAATTTATCAGAGTAACACTCGCAACTACGAATAGCTCGGTTTGCATATGTTTTTGGCATCCCTACGACTCCCCTACAACTCGACATAATGTACTTCCTGATTTCATATTTAAAAAAATAAGTCGTGCCTGTAATCTGAATAGACTGGCTTGTTAATTTTAGGTAAATATATTTCTGTTAAATTAACAGCAGTTGCAAAACAAATCTAATACTAATCAGAATACAAAAGTTAGTTTTTGCATCAATAAAAATAACACTGAAATGGGTCGGAGCTTGTTCCAATATGAGAAAATGTGGAGCGTTGTTTGTTATACTGTTCTATGGCGTGATTAAATAAAGAAAGATTTATTTCCTCTGGTATAAACAACTGGTCTTGAATCGACTAACAGCCGCAAATACACGTACTATGTATTAATATATTCATCATACATTCAATAGTTACAGCCTAAGTTTACATCTGGACATAGGCTTCCCCGCAAATTGGGGCTTCCCCACAAAATCTTCCCCTCAAACGGTATACACTATACATATATACCCCATCCGTGGTTGTCACACTAGAGAGGCGGGATAGTAATTAAAATATAATAGTTAAAGCATGTTTTTTATATTTATTATTTATTTTTAATTTCAGGTATAAATATATAAATGTCATTTTCTTTTGCTTTGACTGGTTGGCAATGAGTAATTCTTGCTATAATCCATTCATTTATGCAATTTACAACGTAAGTACTCTTTCATTTAAAATTATATTTAAGAAGTAGTTTTATTTCTTAAATACATATATTTATAGCCATAATTTAATAACTCTTTTCTTATTTTTAAATACTTACTCTATACTTAATGTGATTTTAACCTAATCTTAATTTAGCTTGGCTTGTATATTACGTAACTTATTGTGCTACAATTGCCAATGATATTTGTGTGTTTAATATAAAATTAATTGTTACAGGAAAAGTTTAAAAAAGAATTTAAGCAACGATTCACTTACAGGAAAAAAAGAAGATTTAATAATGACAGTTATGAGGTAAGAGTAGATACTTTGTTTGTATCCTAAATGCAATAATACAATACATATTTAGCTTAAAATTAGACAAATATGAATCTATCTTTTATAGGATGGCCAGTCTTATCGAACACGCGTACTTTCTTTTCGGTCGACAAATGAAAGAAGCACATATTCGACAAGGAAATCTGTAAGTTTAGGAACTTCGGATGCAACAAAATCTCAAAATAGAAGCTCTTGTTATTGTGCAAGAAATTTTAATATCAACTCGGAGGAAGAATCTCGTCTCACAGTAGTAAGAGCGTTAAACTCTTTTCGAAATGGAACTAAAAATAATGGAACCAAAACCCAAGATTTGACCAATAGAAGAGGTAAACCTAAACGTTTATCTAGAGACGAAACCCTGCCTGTTGGCAATGAACGAGTCAGTGAGTTGTATATATTTCCAAATAGTAATATCGTTGATTTAACAGATGTTCCGTGTGATAATAAGGTGTAAATTATTCAGTCTTGTTAGATTCCATAAGCCAAAAGTATTTATTGAATAATCAAACATGTGATGTGAGATATTTACCTTTAGTATGTAAGAATTAAATACGTAGATAATATTTTTTGTTTCATTTATTCACAATCAACTTTTTTTTATTGATTATGGATGACAAACGAGCACACAGTCCGCCTGATGGTAAGTGGATGCTGTGGCCCATAGACATCTACATTTATCCTCGATTACGAATTAAGATCCAGATGCGTTGTTGCCTCAAAGACTTAGATGTAATGCCTCATTTCCAGTAAAAAGGGTCTCCCGTTCTCTACACTCACTATACGAAACACTACAGCTTTAAGCTGCTATTTTAAGCTGGTATTCTGTGACATCGTGGTCCTACCCTGATCGAATCGACCTATTCGCTACAACCATAATATAGCTGCCGAGTGGCTCACCATGCATGAAACTAACTGCGTACTCGGTAGCTATCAACTCTTCGCATATGACAATATAGCATTGCAAAAGTACGCATAACACTGACACCAATCGTCATAGTTGGGCTTTCATTTATAGCTTTACAACACTTAGCTCTGCTGTTACTCATACTAGAAGTAGGACTTCAAATTCACTTTAAGCAGTTAGGTAAAAATAATTTTACTTAGCTGCTTAAAGTGAACTTATATACAGAGTTATTTTACCCTAATAAAGTAAAAGTAGCCAAATTTTAAACTTTATTTCAAATATAATATAAATAATTATATAATATAAATAAGTACGTGAGGCTTGTGACATGTGGCTATGGGCAACAATATTTTGCCTATTGATCGACCCTTACGTATTTGTGCGTGTGTAGTAAAATTAGTTAATGCATTACCATGCACTTTGAATTTAAAAAATAAAAAAATACGTGTGGCACTCGGTGACTGCCGCGGTAAAGCTATTGCATAGCATTTTTTATCAACTTATGCGACTATAATTATTTATTTATTTTATTTATGCAGTTAAGTCTTTGATATTAAATCAAGTTACACTTTTTGAGCGTGGTGACCGATAAGAAAACAATTTTTTTCTCTTATTGAATAAATGAGAAGTTAATATTGTTTAAAATATTTTTAATATCTTACAATACATGTAGGTTATTCAGGAATTTTTATCACTGAGTTAGCAGCTAGTGTACACGCATACGTCTAGTCGCACGCACACAAACACCGTGCCGAACTCTGCCGAGTGCCGAAGTCTGCCGAACTGAAACGACGTTAGACGATGCACGGCTTTCAACGCCACACCTCCGTGCCCGTCGGAGTGGGGAGCGTGAGGTTTTTTCGTTACGGAATTTCTGGATTCGGTCCCCGCGCTCAAGGCCCGCGATAGAAGCTATGCAATAGCTTAAAATATACAGAAATAAACATTTGTTTGCCTTTTATGGTGAAACAGTGTTATTATATCTTTTCCACCAAGTTTGTAATTTTTTACCTATGTTTTACAAATAAATTATTTTGATTTGATTTGAATGTTTGAGATTTTTTAAATTAATTTTTAACACCATTTACCTATTTTACTTATTGTGAGCTTTCTCTATAAATTTGGGCGGTTATTGCAAATAAACCCTGTATATATTGTTTGCACGAATGTTTGTAATAATGTTTGATTTTAGGGTTTAATTTTCAACTCAATAGTCTGCATGGATTGACGGATTTAAAAGTTGAATGAGGTTAAGTTTTATGCTATACTGTATTACGATATGAAATATGATGTTTAATATAATATACCACAAATATGAAGTTATATAATTTAAATAGCACAATAAATAATTTGAACTCTTTACGAGCTTGTGTTTTGTTCCCCTCCGGTAGTGAGTTTTGCATGACAATTGAGTAAAATTATTGCATTGAAAGAAAAGTTTTTTTTTATATAGAAGGGGAGAAAAATGAGCATGTGGCTCAGCTGATAGAAAGTGATTATCGCCGCCCATAAACAACTGCAACACCAGGAGATTTGCAGGTTTTTTTTGGGTTTTCAGGACCCGTTGCGGGTCTTTTAGAAAGCCGTAAACTCTTTTCTTGAAGATCCCTAAGTCGTACCAGTCCGGAAAAATCGCCGCTGGTAAACGATAAAAAAATTATAGTAAAATGTACAGTGGTGAATTGCCAAGCATCTAAATGGTGTAGATGGTAACGTGAGTTTGGTCGCGATGTGCGTTCGTGAAATATGGCGGCTGGAATTAAACCGAACAATTCCTCAGATCACTCCTTGCGATAGAAAATGCAAAGAGATGCAACATCTCTTCGCAGCACCAGTGTATGCGATTCGAGCTGCACTGCGGTGGATGCGGTCAAGTGGAAGGAGCTGGTACTGTGATCCCCGACTCAGAGATGGGAACAGTATTCCATGAGTGGCCGAAATTGCGCCTTGGAATGTTGCAGCCGGTGTGCCGGCGTGAAATACTGTCCCGTTCTGCCGAGCACACCAAGCTTTTTAGAGGTCATTTAGGCCTTCTCTTCCAGGCGATCACGAAACTGCACATCACTCGATAGGTCGACGTCGAGGATTACGATACTGGCTGAAGCAACAAGCGGAGTGCCTTGAAACTGAGAAGGGAGAACAAAGAAGTTCTTTTTAGCGGTAAACGCGCAAACTTGTATCTTCTGGGGATTGAACTTGACTAGATTTAGTCGCCCCCACTCCAATACTTTGCTCAACAAATTCTCGACTTCAGACACAGGTGTGTTTCGGTACTCTGCGACGTTTTGCCTAGAAATATTGGCACGGCCGGGTTATAAAACATAACCAATGCTCTCATCCGCATAGAAAATTAATTGTTTGCAACATATTGTATTGCAGAACAAACAGATATGATAATAGCATGCAGCCATGTATAACACCAGCGTTAATTGGCTTGCATTCAGACCGTGCACCGTCTACTACAACCTTGATTTTTTTATAGGATAGGGTGACAAACGAGCACACAGTCCACCTGATGGTATGTGGTTGCTGTGGCCCATAGATATATACATCTATCCTCGATTATGAATAAAAATGCAGATATATTGTCACTCATGAGGACCAAGATGGAATGGCTCGTTTCCAGTAAAAAGGGTCGTCGGTTCTCTACACTCATCATACGAAATACAGCAGTATTAAGCTACTATTTTACGCTGGTATTCTGTGAGAGCGTGGTCCTTCTGGTCGAGCCGACCCATTCGTACTACAACTATACTACTAATATAACTGCAGCATGGTTCTACCACGTACAAAAATGATGCTACAATCAGATAGAAAACGGAAAGTGTCTGATTCTCAATAAAGAAGCTTCAAAGCTTGCAATCAGACCATGCGCCGTCTACTACAAACTTGATGCTCCAGTCAGATAGAAAACTGGTGATCCAATTGCACAATTTCTCTGGAAGCCGAGAGAAAGAAATAGAAAAGAAGCTTCGAGAGAAGCGCTTTGTACCAAATCCGATCGAAGGTATTCGCTGTGTTCAAACTAACCGCCAAAGCCTCCCCCTCGAACTCTATTGCCTGCACTTACGGGTGTATTAGATAAACAAGAAGATTACCAGCTGAGCGATCACGACGGCAACCATACTGGTACGCACTTATCAGCTGGTGCTCCTCAAGGTACCGCATGAGCTGGCTGTTAATATTGGACTCCATTATTTTGGAGAACAAGGAGGTGATAGCAACTATAGTTGGATGGTTCAGAGCGGTCATATTTTTCAGGGATCGGGTGCACGAAAGCTGTCTTCATGAATTAAGGGAGTAAGAGTACCGGAAAAGACACGTTAGTACCGGAGCCAACTCTGAAGCACACGTCCTCAGAACAATTGTAGGTGGGGGATTCCTTCAGCGCCAATCAAATTGTGGATGTCCAGGGAGAAGCGTGCTTTAGACCCTGAGCAATATGTGAATCACACATCAGGCATATAAAGCACTCACACCGCGGGGTGGTCGGCGGTGTGTTTCCCTCGACATCGAGAGTCCAGTTGGACGCAAAAAGAGAGCCTAAAAGACCGGATTTCCCTTTTGCGGCGTAGGCAAGTGAGTCGTCCTCCCTGTGCAGCGATGGATGGCTTACACAAATTTTCTTGGACAACCTAGACGAGAAACAAGAATGCACGGATTCCGAAGGAAGGCGAACTAATTTTTCGCCAATTCTGCCAATGTACTCAAACTTTACATTGGCAATAACTCTTTTAAAGGACATGGAGGCGAAGAGATGACGGAATAGTTCCATTCCCTGTAGCACCACATCAGCGACACAGTCAGCAATAACGCTGGGATCATCCGACGAGAAGCAAACCTGCCCCCATGGGTAGGATGCAAAGAAAGACCGCATTCCATCCCAATCCTTTAATGCCAAACATGGCGATAGCGTGCAGAACTCAACCGCAAAGGAAACATGAGTGGCAGTACACTACGTATCAATGGTCTGAGGAGCCAAGCCCTCTTGGCTCCTCGGAGACCATACATCCGTCCGAATTAGAGGTCAGCAGAAGGTCCAACAGGGAAGGTGCATGATCCTCCACATCTGGGATCCGCGTGGGCGTGGTAACCAGTTGTGTCAGATATGCTAAATAGATATGCCAAAGCAAGGTCATAAACAAATCTTCCCGCATGTCGGTTAAACGTGAATCGAGCCATTCGGCGTGATGAGCATTAAAATCGATAAGGATCACGATCTCTGCGGATGAGATCTGTTGTAGCAAGGAATCTGCAGCCATTGGCGTGCCTTTAGTGTATTGCCACTTGACGCCATACGTGCAACATCAAAATCTGCCACGGGACTTACACTATAGATATACGGGCAAACAAAAAATAAAGTAAATTAGTGTATTGTTATCAGTTCTCAATACGTAAGCAAGTTCTTGGATTATTTGAAACAGAAACAGTAACTTTTGTATTCAATGTAGATTATAAACAATACTTATTGAAAGTCACTTTTCATTTACCACTGGTTCGCGGAAAAAAAACCTCTGTCCTGGGAAGAAACAGCAAAAAACCCCACGGGA